ACAAAAACTCAAAACAATGCATTCTCTAACGTGACTATTCAGATCATGAGGATTAGAAACTGGAGGGGTTGTTTCTGGTCCTTCCAATATGAAACACAGTGGGAAACACTGTAGGCAATTTTTATGTATTTGGATGGACAGACTAATGGTTCTGTCTAGATGCCTGGGTACTGTTTAGTGACTATAATACAATGCTACTGATTTATTTTACAGCAACCACTGTCACTCCTGCTTTTCATGATATTAAACTGGAGCCTTTTTAGACCTCTCTGTTTTTCAGCCATCACACTGGTAGATGACAGCAAATCAAACGCAGCAAATGGAACTTGGATTTCCCAAATTCTAGCATAGGCAATGAAAAACACTCAACTTGCTTCTCAAGTGTCAATTATGCATAATCTCAAATGAGAAGGGATAAGATACCAGAAGAGGTGTTTGAAACTATATTCTTGAAGCAATTTTAAAATGCAGTCCCTTAGAGGAACTCACTCGGTGAAGGGTGTGAGCTACTAACTATATGTTTTCTTTGAGCAAGAAAATGAACAAAATATATAAATGGAGACCCTGTAAACATATGTCGACACAGAGAACTTTAAAACAACCAAATCTTAAATCTGAGAATCAATAAGGAGGAAATACCCTGCTATTTTGGTTTATTAATAAAACATGAAATTAAACTGGCCAGTTTTCTACTATGAACCTTCCATATGTCCAGTTTGTAAAACAAAAGTTTATTTAATCATGACGGCCTACTTGAGGACTTTGCAACATCTTTAATCATGTTTTAAAATACAGAAAACAAATATGTCAATTTCAGTCTGAGGGCTGGGGCCAGCATAATTTTATTATATGCTGATAATTTGAAAACAGTCTCCTTATTTAGTATCTATCATAGCCAAAATAATTGAGTTCATTGGAACACCTTGAGTTTTTGGCAATGTATAATAGATTGGTTTCAACCAATGAGCACATAATGAGCTGGAGATAGTGCCATAATTATTATGGAATCTTACCAAGTTGCTCATGTACTCAATGGTTCACATATGATTTATTTGGAGCTTAATGCAACCCTGGGTTCAAACCAAGCCCACTGTATCTTTGGGAATAGGGCTGTATGTTGGTATTATAAAGCCTCCTGCCAGCGATTTTAACCAGTTTTATGAATACTGCTCTTGTCTGCCCACCTCATGTGATACCTAAAATCAAGCTATATAGTAATTAAAAGACCTTATCCAATCCATACAGCTAGTTGGCTACAATTAAATGACTTCACCCCAGGATTTCTCACTCTGCTTCTGTTCCTTGTAACAACTCCAGCTAAATATCCTTTAAATGATTTAGAGGTATTCATAAGACAATGCTGGCACATGTTACGTCTAAGCCAGAAACTCTGGATGAATTTTTAACATATGCCTGACAATGTAAACCCATTACTAGTTGGCAGCAAGCATGAAAGATTCCTCTAAAAATAAGAGATCTAATGTCAAACCAATGAGAGTTCATACTGGGGCAGGAAGGTGTCTGAGCAGTGAATTCAGAGCTAGCACTCAATGCATAATTGCTATCTGAAATAAGTGTGCTAACTGTTCTTCTCTATTCTAAGCATTAGCCACGTTTCTCCCTAACCATTAGATCTGCATTCCACTAAGAAAAAGTCATAGACACGTTTTGTCATTCAGTGCTTCTGCTCGTTTATCTTGTGATTCTCTTTGAGTATTTCCAATGCCTTTTTAGCACCACACCAGAAAATCTTCACACATCTAGACAGCTAAAGAGAAAAACTAGAATTAATAGCAATTTTCTTTTTGCTGAGAAAAAAAAACACCAGAAGCCTGTATAAGATAGTAAGATGAGTAAGTATGAGCTCAACGGGACCAAAGCCTGAATTGTCATATTTTTGAGATGGTGTGCTATAGGGAACAAAATAAAGAAAGAAATAAAAGTCTGTAAATATTATGAAAAGTATTGAAAGTCTCACTCAAACCTAACTGTTCTGCAAAAAAAAAAAATAGCAAATAAAAATTAGAAAGGGTGTAATTAAGTTTTATGTACCAAAGGTATCAGAAAAATAGGACACAGGGAGCTTGGTTAGGAAAACATTATATCTACAGTTCTCTCTTCAACAGAGTTGAATGCAGTGGGCACATACTGTGCAGGCTTCTAGGAGTCCTGCTAAGCCATCCCCATGGTCTCCACTATGGTCTCAAACATACCACTGTTCAGGTAGCACTTATATGCCTCAATAGCTCCAATATTTTGTGCTTAGTCTCACTATTTTCTATTGATATCTCTAGAATGAGAAATTGACTGGCTTTTAGAATCCCCAAGGGCGACTTATAAAGTAAGTTTATTCTTAGCACTGCTCAGACAAATCCCAAAGCGTTTTCTGTCTGTAGCCCCTGTTACCTGCCCGTTCTCTAGTGAACTTTCTCAGAGCTCCGAGCTTAAACCAATGCAAAGCATCAGAAGTAAGTGAACCAGCTCAAAGCTTAAGACCTGACAGCTTGTGCCTTTGCATCTCCAGTAGGCAGCTGCAATATACAAAGTCTGACCCTAAGACCACTATGGCGAACAGAAGTTTAAAAAGTTCCCCAGCTGGTATATGTAGTCCACAGCCTCCACAAAGTTCCTGAATTCAAGGATGGAGGTAGGAAGAGGGATGACAGAAGTGATTCCATACATCAACAATTCATATTATGAACATCAGCCAATTACATTTAATCACAGATAAAATGTACACATTCTTAGAAAGAGATCATTTACCTTAACTTACTAAAGAAGAATCAGGTAAGAGCAGGCAGCTTTGTACTCATAGAGAAATTTAGTTTATACTTGGAAGAAACTGTCCTACTTCCTGGATAACATCATACTCAATAGTAAAGAACTGGATGCACTTCCCTCAAAGCAGCAATACAGCAATGACACTCTCTCTTGTCACTACCACTTCTCTTGTTACTACCACTTCATACTGTACAGATGTTATAGCCATTGCTGCAAGGTAAGAGAAATCATTTTAAGGTATCTCGACTGGAAAGGATGAAGTCAATATAGTTGCTTACATAAAACCTCTGATGGGATACGGTGAAGAAGACTCTAGCAGAAATTAAGAGTAGTTACAGGATGAAAAACTCAATGTAGAAAAAGTTCCTGGTAGGCTGGAGAGGTGATTCAGTGGGTAAGAGTACTTGGCTGCACGTGCAGGGGGATCTGAGCTCAAATCCTCGGAACCCAGGTAGTAAGCGGGACATGCTCCTGCTCGTCTGTGACCCCAGCTCTGTAGGAACTGGAGTCAAGATGACTGATGTGACTCACTGGCTGCCAGTCTAGCTCCAGGTTCAGCGAAAGACCTTGTCTTAAGGGAACACAGTACAGCATGACAAAACAGGAGACTTGTTTTCCTGTGTCCTCCATTAGCATGAAGTAGCTCAACAACGTACGTATGCACAGGTGCACATAACACATACACAGAGAGAGAGAGAGAACACACACACACAGAGGGAGGGAGGGAGGGAGAGAAAGAGAGAGAGAGAGAGAAAGAGAAAGAGAGAGAGAGAGAGAGAGAGAGAGAGAGAGAGAGAGAGAGATCAAAAATTAAAAATTATACCTTTTAAATATGTATGGTTTATCATATACCTCAAAGCTGCTCTTCTGTTTTCTACATAGCAGTACTGATAAAATTTTAGCATAGATTTTGTAGGGTACTAAACTGTGGCTAGAACAAGAGCAGAAGCAATTGAGTCCAGGCTAAGTACAGACTACTTCCATGATGGCTTTAACTTTGAGTGTAAGAGACAAAGGTGGTGAGAGAATAGGGGAACCTAACAGAACAAACCAGGCAAAAGATTGAGTTACATGTTTTGAACCACGAAGAGTGTGCACGTATAAATATGCTACAGACTAGACGCCAGTAGAGAAGGAAATAGACATTTTAAGACAGAAAATTCAAGAAGAAAGGAGTCTTGAATGGGGGTTGGACATTGTGGGTCCAAATGAAGATCTGTCTACATGGATGGATATAAGTGTCACCACACTTAATTTGGTATTTTTCTCTTGTTCTGGGGAGGATGAACAATAAGAGGAGAAAATACTTGGGAAACATGTTGAGATCTCAGAAAAGCCATTGCCTACAGCAGTGGAAATGATGCTGAAGGTAAGTATTAGATCTAAGTGCATTCTGGCAGTGAAACAGATACAAACACGCACATTCATTTGTGTGCACAGTGGACCATTTCGAACTATGGCCCTTCTCTATTTCCTTTCCCTTTAAACATGATCAAATTTCACTCACCTGCCATTCTTTCTACTGAGCCTCCCCCTCTCCCCATTACCCTCAATGTACAATGAATAGTTAAAACATTCTTCAACTTTACTGGTAAATATTTCTACACATATAAGAAAACATACATTCTCTTAAGGAACCACAACATTCTGGTAGCCAGCTATATAAAATCTTAATGCTGTATCACATCTATCCCAACAAAAATGCCTAAATCAGAGATAGGCTTATTAGCAAAATGTGATTTCATCTCTAACAAATATCAACAAAATCAATTACTTCTTACATTTCATATATTTTATAAATAATGCTTAGAGAGCCCCTGAGATGATTTCCAGGTACCGTGGGTGTACAAAAAGTCAAATAGGGCCCCAAATGGCCACTAGCAAATAAGTCAGGTATTTTTCCATGGATTGAACTCTTAATATATTAAAGCCATCATACCCACAGGGAGTAGGTTTGAGAAAATGTTCCAACCAAGTATACATTTTTAATAAAAATGGTGATTATGACTCATAGCACTGACACTGTTTTTCTTTAGCGTTATAGCACTCATGGCTATCTTGGCCTTGTAAACACAGAGAAGTTTAATAAACAATAATCCCACCATACCATATATGGTTTCTGCAGCTGAAGCACGTAATAAGTTTTTAACAGCAGTTTTATTTTGTATTCAATAGTCAATCATCCATTAGATCAAAATAGTTATCATCCAGGATAGTACCTGCCAGAACACACTGTGTGCATCTCCTCTCAGAAGTTCAACAGTGTCCCCTGCCTGGATATGCAATGGTGGTCCTTCATGAAGCGCTGGGGGCGGGGTGCCAGTGTAGTTCCTAATGACCTGCATCTTTGGCAAACCTGGAAACAAACAACACACTGTTGACAACAGAAAAGGCAATGGCGTGTGGAGGCTACATGTGCTTCAAGAAAAGGAAAAGTCGGGTCCATTATTAGCATTAAAATGTTTAACCACGCCCGCCTCAAGTAAAGGGCTGAAGCAAGACAGAAGGAGTGCTTCTTAACTTCCTTCTCACCTGAGGTGGTGAGAGAATAAGAAGGAAGCTGATCTCCTGATTCCTCACATACTTTCCCTTCCCTTACTGTCAGTCTCTCTTTTTAGTTGGAAAAAAAAATCTCGTTCAGCCGATGCCTGCTTCATAAAAAACATATCACGTTGTGGAAAAGAATCAATTTTTTCATCAGCTCTACCCTTTCTGCCTATTACTTTCCTCTTGGGCATAGGCTGATTTCATCACTAAGGAGACTCACCCTTTCTGTGTATGTATCACACTGCCCAGTAGACGGCTCCTATCTTAAGGTTATCTTTGTAATTCAAAAGCAAAGAGGTGATGGATGTGGGACTGCAATTCTTGAGACATTTATATGGAGAGAATGTCTGGGCTCAAATTTAGGCTTGCAAAACAGACCCAACAAATGGAACATGTCTAAGCCAATAGCATCAACAATATTAAAAACACAGATCCATCCCTGTCTTGCATTTCTTTCAATGTGCAAGGAGGGCCTCAGTTCAATATTTCATTTCAGAGAATAGGCAGCTTCAATTATATCGGGGCCTAATTGCTCCAATACCACTCATAAATGTATGGCCTCACTGTCATTTTTTTCATTTATACATGAAGCTTCTTCCTTCTAGAAGAGAAATCACTTATAAACATTGCCATCTCTTAACCATTTAGGGGCACGAGCTATAACTTACTACACTTAAGGAGTGTGTCTTCTAATGAACAACTGTGATGGAAGCACTGTACTCTGTTTTTGGAGGACCAGTGACTATCATTTGCTTCTGGATATCCAGAATACTTTCAAAAGACTACATGAAACATTGCAGCAAAAGGCTTACAGATATCTCAAAATCCTTTGCAACCATTTACTCCCCATCTAGAGCAGGGGACAAAACACATTTTACTGTAAATGCAACAGAACAAAAATGTTAGTCAAGGCATTCTTATCACCCAGTCAATGGAGGGGTTAAAATTCACTTGACCTTCGCTTCAGTTGAGCTGCTATGGCTGTGGAGATCCAAAATAAGTTGCTACATCTTCCCTTTGCTTCAATGCTCCAGAACCCCTGAAGGGATGGTGACTTCTTTCTCCATCTTTCATGAACAGTTTCTCTACCCGATGTTGTAAGGCAGCACACTAACACAGACAACAGACTTTATTGTCCTTCCCCAAAAAGACAGCACCCTAAGGTGAAGCACTCATCAGACTTGTTTTCCACATGCTAAATGCCTTGAGTACAGAGAGAGCTTATTTTACAGTCTATTTTTTAAAATTGCTACTACAAACCTAAAATGAAATCTACACCTCCCATACACATAACAGATGTCAAAGCTTCAGCCTGTGAGAAAGGATTCAGTAGAATGTAGACTCCTCCGCATGCAGTCTTGTTGCATGATGGGTCTTCCACTTCCATGTTTGGGCTCAGATCTATACTTACTCTGTTTTCATTGAGAATCATCAAATGCTTGGAAAGGATATGATCTGGTTGATTCCCTGGGAAATTTTGATTTTATTCTGTTTTTAAAAAAATATGCTAAAGGCAAGAAGGAAAGGTTTTTCAGCCTGAAATAACTCATCTGACCTTAAATAACAAGGCCATAGGAGAGCTGTGACCTTCACTGTAGCTGTCTGGGTGACACCTGACGAAAATGAGAGTTCTCTTATTGTCAACATGCCCAAGGTAGTCAGTCTTAAGAAGACCTGATTTAAAAATGCATAGATATTTAGGGAAACACATTAACTTTGATGGCAGCTCACTAACTAAGTATACATTAGAGATTATAATATAAAAATGTCCAGCCTGCACACATGGCTATGAGAAGCCAGATCCAGAGAAACACTGCCTCAGGTCTATTTATATAGATCAGACTGCCATAGCACATGTAAAATAATAACGTCTAAAATAGAAAATAATACACAGGTGAACACGGAGTGACTAAGAAAAACGATCTGTGTTGCACAGTAGTGACGAAGGACTTTGCTTTTATGGTGTGATTTGTTCCTTTTTACTAATTCTATCTTTTCAGCTATTGCTTTCTTAAGGACAGCTGACCTAATTGTACATTAACAGAGACAAGTTGCCCAGCCAGTTCCTAAAATAAAAAAAAAAAATGTGTTAGGTTGGCCAGAAGAAGGTTCAGCCCATGGCCATATTCAAAAGGATGTTGTAACTAGTGTCAATTTGGTCGTGAACCAACTAGCAAATACAGAGTTCGTTGACTAATATGCTTTTTTCTATGGGAATAAATTGTAATCTAATGATACAATAGAATCTATATATTTTGTCATTCACCGAATAATCTGTGGCTATTTTTTTCTAATGAGATAATATGTCCCATTTCACCATTAACTATTGTTAGAGCCACAGAACTACAGAGATAATATATCAAAGGATAAAGGAATGAAATGAGGGCAGATTGATGTAATAAAAATGGTCACTTTGCCCCTTGCTTCTGACGCTAGTACAGGGTCAGCATTCAACACTGGTGGAAAAAAAAGGCTACTTCCAAAAAGGCCTCTTTATATTCCTTCCTTTAACAAGTAAGAGAGGGGTGGGGAAAGGAGGGAGAGAGAGGAGAGAGAGAAAGGTCCAGTAGTATTGCCATAAACATAATCATAGTAATTGAGATTAAAAATCTTACTAAAAAGGAAAAAAAGAATTGGTTAAACTGTCACATCCACAGTCTACTATCAGTTTAATACTTAGCACAATCTACTGTCACAGCAGGCGTCACACTCCACAAAGGAGATCACAAACAGATAGTAAATTACATTTGCAGATGCTCACTCCATGATTAGGCCTTTGCTATTGATTTAGATTCGGTCCTTTTCTTTTCCTTAGAGCTCATTGGACAGGTTCCAAACTCTCTTTAAAACTGACCAGGACAATCACTTAAGGGTTTCTAGAGACTGAACCACTAACCAAAGAGCATACATGGGCTGGACCTAGGCCTCCAACGCATATGTAGCAAAGGTGTAGCTTGGTCTTTATATATGTCCCCCAAGAACAGGGCGCTGTCCCTGTATCTGTTGCCTGTCTGTGTGTGGGACTGTATAAGGGTATCCTGGGTCATGGTTGAGCAGGTACTTAGAACCCCGAGATTCTCCGTGGAATTCTGCGTGAGAACCGGCAGGAGTTCGGTCCTTCCCATCATCTAGGATCCTGAAAACAGCCACATTTCCATAGAGTCACATAGGCCAGGTTTTAGGCCTCAAGCCCTAGAGATTTACATACTAATGAAGGCCAGAGGGCAGAGCAAATTAAACATTCCTCCCCCAGATCCTCCCCTAATCCTCCCCCTTTCTCCCTCCCTATATAACTCGGGACGGCCCTGAGTTTTTGGGGGTACGCCTAGATCCATCTATTATCCGTCATGTCAATAAACCATTTTGGAACCAAGGACTTCCTCGTGTTACTGGGGCC